GAAAAGGCCAATGGTGCGTGCGGTTTTATGTGTGGAAAACAAGTGAGCTGCCACTCCTTTAAGGACTGCATTCAACAACAGCTAAAGACAGCTGAAACGGCTTAGACATTTGTGTTTTAAAATCACAGTGTTTCATTTGGGAAGCAGCTTTTCACTTCATAATCATGCATATTTTATTAACTCAGCCAGTCAAATTTGGACTCTAAGAGCACCAGTCTGGACCCATTACACTACATTTTGGGCCCATCTAGGTTATGGCTTGGCACTAGGAGGAGACAGGAAAGTACTGAAAAGGTTGTGAATGTGCTCAATAAAAAGAAAAAACATTTCTCAACTATGGCTTAACATTGGCACTAGCCATTTCCACAGGCAGTTATTTACCCATCATGTGGGATACGCAACAAACAGATGTAAGCGACAAATCTTTTACAATATCCTTTTAGTGTTTGAGGCTCTCCTAGGATTATGCACAAGTTAGCAAGGAAATCCACTGCCAAAATTGTAATATTCTGCAACTGTCTATTATTTTACATTAATTTGAGCATTAAATTCTACTTGGTTTTTTGCAACTGACCATGAGATTTAAGCGTGCCAAAAAGGCAGAAAATAATAGCTGAAAATGTGAAGTTAGAAACATTCATCAATGCTGAATGTTTCTCAATGCCACTTACAGCTTTAAAAAGTTAATAGTGAAAGTTTCTGTATTGTGGAATTATTTGTATGTATGTGATTCTAAGTTCTTACATGTATCAAGTGCACACCGTGAAGTCTGACAAGCTTGTCAACGAGTAAAATCAAAACTTGACCTAAATCCAAGCATAACACATGAAACTGAAATCCAGCATAAATGTGAGCACTTCTGGAAAATGAAAATCTTTAGAAAAGAAATAACTGTGCATATGAGTAATTTACTGATCACTTACAGAAGCACACCCAGTGGTGAGTTCATGAGAGAAACAGGCAGTATATGTGGGGGTTTTCCATCATTTTCTGTAACTTGACTGATACAACATTCACCAATGGTACAATTTTATTGCAGATGTGCTAACTCGTGACAATTCCAGTGAGATAACATATTTAACAAGCAAGATAGAAATTTCAGATCAGCCCAAGTCTGTGGCAGTCAGACAATATCCCTTCGTGATCTCTCGTGAGGAACAGCAATGGGCAAAATGTGATAGGGAAGAAGCAGAATTTGCTGTGTACCTTCAACGGCCATTCCTCCTTTCATCCAACTATGATTGTGATTTTTGGGAAGAAAGAATCCAAGATAAAAGTTTAAGCACAGGACACTAGTTGCCTGCCTTCTGTGACCCATCTGCGTAATTTCTGTTCCTTCAGACTTACTTCTAGGTGAAGCTACAGCACACTGCTTGTTGAAAACATTTTTCATACCCTCTTCAGTGAGCTGACATCCTTTCCAATCACAGCTGCTCAGACAGGTCTTGCTGCTGTTCAACCTCAAAATGACTACTCTGCTTTCACACCATGCTAGGTCTTAAGAGACCATATGACACTGCAGTAGGAGACATCTCTATTTCAAAGAATTTAGCAAATCTCAAGTACTGAACACTGAAGGCTGAAATCCTTTTTAAACATCTTCCTATCTGGGTTTTTTCCACCTCATTTCAGCACCAGGCTATTTCAGCCATCACGCCAAACATCGCGTAGTCACCACTGCAGCACACCACTGCCTCACAGAACTTGTGGAAGAACTCTTACCATCTTATTTTTACAAAAAAAATCATAA